TTGTAGCATCCTATTGCAAATGCTAAAAATAACATGTTAAAAATACCAATAATAGCATTTTTACACCAACAAGGTGCTACTAGATAAACACCTGACGTTTCGCAACATAAACCTCAAAGAAATTGAGGAAACTGCACAAGTAGAGGATAAAACAAGTACCAGGTCTACAAAACTGTCTACAGCAGATGAACAGTATCCAAAAGTCATTTCCATAAGAAATAAGAAAATAAATCCTGCAGAATGGCTGTCAAGAGGTTATTCTTAAGGAAGGGAAATGGGAATCAACCAGCCTAAAAATTAGCGGTAACAGGACTCATGGCACGATGAACCTAAGTTTGAAAAGTCTGATTCAAATAATTATCAATATTTAGAGAGGACGACAGGAGAGATGTACAATAGTGACTGCTTACAGTGATTTTTAAAACATAGTAGAGGCTTTGTCATGGTTTGCGCTGCACTTAAACCTGTGGTGTTTTACATCTTGTCAAAATTGGTGGAATTATAAATGTAGAAAAATGTCATTATATCTTTCATCCACCATCCAATAGAGCTTCCTTTTTCAGCATGACATTGATCCCAAACACACTGTCAATGCAGTAAAAGCATGTCTAGCTAGAAAAACACACAGCTGAACCCTATCAGTTATGTGGCGATCGTGGCTCAAGAGTTGGCCTCGTAATCGGAAGGTTGCCGGTTTGAGCCCCGGCTTGGACAGTCTTGGTCGTTGTGTGCTTGGGCAAGACACTTCACCCGTTGCCTACTGGTGGTGGTCAGAGGGCCATCACCAGTGTGTGAATGTGTGTATGAATGGGTGGATGACTGGATATGTAAAGCGCTTTGGGGTCCTTAGGGACTAGTAAAGCGTTATATAAATACAGGCCATTTACCATGGACTGACCTCCCCGGAGGCCTGAATTACTGAAGCAGTCTGGGATCATCTTGACAGAGAACAGAACAAAAGGCAGGCAACATCCAAAGAAGAGCTTTGAATGTCCTTCAGGAAGCTGGGAGAACTATGGCTGAAGACTACTTAAAGAAATTACAAAAAGGCTTGTCAGGGTCTATTGAATGATAAAAGTGGTCATACCAAATATTGACACTCGCACTCATACAAACTACGTTTTTGCCTAATAAATTCTGATGTATTCCCATTTACGTTTGCATGTTTAAATGAAGTGCTGCACGTGTTTAATATTTTCTTAAAAAATATAATAAATGAGGGGCACTTAAGACTTTGCATAACATTTTCTATTAATTAAATACGTTATGATGTGCATCTGAAAAAAAAGACCATGTAAAAATTTCTCCAATGTGTTTATTCATTAAAAACTAGTATTTCCAGGCATTAATACAACTTTATCTATCTATTTGTTTTTGTTTTTTTGGTTATTTTTAATTTGCGTGCATTCAGGGATTCCCTGGATGAATAAATAAATAGTCAGGGCAAAGCTGTAATAAGAATTCATCTTTCCACAAAACTATCATCTTAGCAAATCTAATTTGTGTAACTTGTGTATTTTTAGGAATTAAACAGATTTAAACCATATTTCAGTGTCAGCACATCGCATAAACGTGGAGCATAAGTGTATCTGATGATCCCCAGAAGCCAGAATGACTAGAAGGAGAGCACAAAACAAACTTGGAGCCAGCTTGAATTTCAGCACTAATTGAATCTTGGAGGAGACAAACACTTCCACATCAGACGCCCTCTTCAGAGACGTCTGCTTGCTTGTGAACTCTGCAGCAGAGTTTGAGTAGACAGAATCCTATTGACCCTTGGAGGGTGGGGGTTGGGGGTCTTGGCCCACTTTGGCATGCTCACCCCGCCCCCACCCCATGTCCTCCTGCCCCCGCACCCCCTTTTTGCTCATCTGTCTTCCCCTTCGGCACGCTCTCTAGCTCATTCTAGCAATCCATTTTTAGGCGCTTTGTAAACCACAAGTGATCCAGCCAAACCAACTAACAGATGTGGACAAAACATCCTATTCCTGCCTGTGCCTGGGTTTCCCCCGCTTGTGCTGCTGTTGGCCCTGGATGAGCCTGAACATGACTAACACACATACACACACGCCACTCACATCCTCCCTCTCATTCCCCAAAGAAGAGATGAAGGGGGCAAAAAAAAAAAAAAAGGGCAGGAGAGAGAAAATCCACCGGGAGGGGAAAAGGAAAAGGCTAGGTGGG